GTGAGCGGGGGTCAGCGCTGTTCTCTGGGTCTGAAGCGGCTGCTGCATCCCGCGGGGTGCCCGGTGACACGCTCCGGGAGGGCTTCCCGAGCGTGGGGGGTGCGGCCGTGCCTACCTGTATGCACAGGCACCGGCACGACAGACACACGCAGCAAAACAACGTAACAAAACCAAAAAGCCCCGCGGTAATATTGGTTTACAGGTGAAAATGATGCGTCTGGATTTATTCAGCCGGGTTCAGCCTAAATTGCAGGGGAGCAGCCTCCCCTGCTGCACTTTGAGGTGTGTCTGGGACAGTCTTTACCTCCCGCTTCACTTGGAGCTTTTCTGATTTTCACATTTGCTGATTGTTTCTGCCTGTGCACCCCGCTTCAAACTGAGCTCTGTGTGCCACTTGTGAAAACCCACACACAGTGACTGATTCACCGAATCAGATCATGAGTTGATGCCCTTCAGATGTGATTCAATTACAATAACAGCTGACACCACAGGCGATGCGGGGCTGTGGTCGCACTTGCCTGCCAGTCCCAGAATAAGGACTTTGTCCCCCTCCTCCTCAGGACAATGGCCTCCATCTCGGAGCGCACCTTCATCGCCATCAAGCCCGACGGAGTCCAGCGGGGACTGGTGGGAGAGATCATCAAGAGGTTTGAACAGAAGGGATTCAAACTGGTGGCCATGAAATTTATGCACGTAAGCTTTCCTCGCTTTGTGTATCTCTCCTTTTTCATCTGAAGTGCACCCTTGAAAGAAGAGTGGCAGGCTGTACTGACAACTCTAGTCTCCAGAAGGATGAAACCCAAACTTTAGAGAAATCTTTAAATATTTCTCTAAAGTTCCAATTTCCAGCTCTGGCTAAATGCTTTAGACATGCTAATCGTGTTAATTTTAGTAACTTGATGTCCTTGGTCTGAAGAGAATTTTTCTTCTAGATATATCCTATACCTAATAAACATCTCTGAATATTTTCAAGAAGTAGCAGGTCACATAAGCCATCTGTGTTAGCAAAAGATGCTTTTCTAAGTTCAGCTGTGGTTAAAGCAAACAGTCCAAACTCATATCAAACGAAAGTACTTCTAGGAAGACGCTAGAAATGCTGAAATTTCAAGTGCGTGCAAGTTTCGGGATTAATAGTGCTCTGTGGTTAATCTATGTGAGTTCAGTATGCTCTTAAGTTCTTACCGTAAGCTTTTTTTGGCTGGGTGGTTGGCTTTTTAATGCAGGCCTCTGAGGACCTCCTGAGGGAACACTACATTGACCTGAAGGACCGGCCGTTCTACGACGGGCTGGTGCAGTACATGCACTCGGGACCTGTTGTAGCTATGGTGAGTTCTTAGAAGTGAAGCTTGGCTAAGAAAAACATACTGTTTAATTGGCTTATCTGCAGTAAGGCTGTGCTCCCTATTGAATTCTAGTTCACTTTTCAAAGGATTTTAAAACCTAGATTGAAATACTGTAATTGGGAAGATGTACTGTTAACCCTGTTTTCTTTATTTTTTCATAATCTTTCTTTCTTTTGAGTTGCTATGTTAAGAAAGAGGGTAGGAGTAAAGGGACCTTCAGAAACACTAAACTTGCACAAAACCCTACTCTGAAACACCATGTGTCAAGCAAGCTGCAAAATGATGGTGGAATATTTTTACTATACTCCTAAACTATAATAACGTTGAAAAGATTTTTCAGTCTCACTTCATTAGAAGGGATTTTCTCTGTTTTTCCTTGATAGTGTATTTGTCATATAGTTGAGCTGGAGGTCTAGATCTTCAATGAGCAGACAGCTTTGTAAGGCTGTTAACCAGATGGAGATTGACAACTGTTCTCTTCCCATCCTTCATGAGGAGAGGTATGGTGCAGAAGGGCACAGATGCTTCAAGAATCTAACAGAAAAATTGGAGATAAAATATGCCTTGCTACTAGCAATAATCAGATGGTGATTTGTGCCATGATACGCAGCATTGAGTAATTCTGGAAGGTATGATTAACTCTTGCTGCCTTATCTACTGCTAAGATTTAATAACCTCAATGGATTTTATTTTTTTGTAAGGTGTGGGAAGGTCTTAATGTGATTAAGACTGGAAGAGTGATGCTGGGGGAAACTAATCCATTTGATTCAAAGCCTGGCACTATTCGTGGTGACTTCTGCATTCAAGTTGGAAGGTATATTTTAAAACTATTGATATAATCTAAAGACACAAAATGTCCAGTGGTATGTCATGATACATGTAGGAACTGTGCTCCATCCTTCTCTATCTGACGCACGGAGCTGCCATTTCCTATTCCCATGCAATCTTATCTAAAGATGGAAGTCAAGTTGTGGTCTTCCCCACTGACAAAAATGATGAGCAAAGCAGGGGCTTTATATTACTTCTGTATCCACCTTTTCTTTTCCTAGGAACATCATTCATGGAAGTGATTCTGTAGAAAGTGCTGAGACAGAGATCAATTTGTGGTTCACTCCTGAAGAACTGGTTGATTACAGAAGCTGTGCTCATGAATGGATCTATGACTAAAACTGAGCCTATAACTTTGAATATCCTTCCTGTCTGTTAACACCTGCTAGTCTCTAGCTATTTCCCATCATATGAACTGATAGAAACCTATATCAGAGATCTGTGAGATTGCTCTGTTGTGGATACTAAATATAGCCAGTGTTTGCTTCTGCTTTGGTTAAAAAGCTGTCAAGCTAGAGATGGAATTGTACTTAAAAAAAGCTGCTTCTGAGGGTGAGAGGTATGAGACTAAAGCACAGAGAAGTAAACCATTAATGACACAGAATGCACAGAATTAATGACACAGAATGCATATATTTTCCTGAAAAACTTTGTAGTAAAAGAGGGTATTTTGGTAAATAGAAAAAAAACCCAAACAGTAAAACTTATTTGGTGAATAAATTTGCAAATGACTTAGTGTCAATGGTTACCTTTGTTAAAAGGTTAGGGGACAGCTGGTGGTATGTAAATAAATTGATAGTGTGCTCAAATATTGAGGACTGAAGGTGACATCAAGTGAATCCCCCTGCCCAAAAGGGCTGCAGAAAAAGGCTGATGTCTGTGCAGCAAGTGCTGTGTCTGCACACAGAGCCCATTGAAACGGGACCTTTCCTCGAGATTGACACCATTTCAACTTGCCTTTTTTTCCCCACCACAGGATTTATTTAGCATTTTAAGGAAGGATTAATAGGCCAGGCTTTTTGAAATGCCCTTTTATGTGAAAAGAAGATTAATGTGAGGATGGACGAGGGAGATCTACCTTCAGCCACTTGCCTGCAGCAGCCCAGAGCTGCACAGAGCAACTGTGGTGTTTGCTTCCCTGGCTGAACAGCTGGTAATTTAACTATGTTCTCTGTTGTGGTCTGTCCTTACTAGATGGAACTATAAATCAAGCTGTTCTTGGATAAGATATTTCAGAAGTGACTTTAGGATCATTTTAAAAATGTAATCATGTAGAGGAATACAGTCATAGTAATGCTCAGTGTGTTTCAGTAGAGGTGTCTGTTCTATCTGAGAAAACTTTCAGCCTCTTGCAGGGATTTTTAGCAACATATATTCACTAGCTCTACTGGAGGAGGAACAAGAAATGTGTTTGTCAATATTATGTATTGACCTGCAACATTTTATCTATTAAAAACGGGTTTCATGACATTTAGTTGCTCAAAATCCTAGATTTTTTCCCTATAGGGAGTTCTTCTTTTAAATAATAAACTGTGCATTGAATTCTGAATTCAATGCTTATGATACTTGATGAAGATATCTAACTCCTAAAAAGAGATGGTACAAAATAAAACAACATTTGCTCTTTCTTAAGTGGGGGAAAAAAGGACATTCTCATTATGTTGGCTTTTGTTGTCTCAGAACTAGTTAATGAATATAAGGAGAGAGAACAGATTCCCTAACTACCAAACTTAGGTGAGGTTGTTAGCTTCTCTTCTGAAAATATTCAGTTATAGAAGACAAATAATTAATGGTTGTTAGATAAAAGGGAATATATGACAAACCTGTGCATGAGATGAGTACTCTCCTGTGCCATTTTTGCTTGAGGGACAACTTGAGGTTTCTTTCTCTTGATTTGCTTGCTACAAAATAGATAAATTTGGGTTATCTGGAGGTGGGGGGGTTGTCAGAAAGCTACTGATTACTATTTCTAATGTGTTGAGACTGAGAAGAGGTGAAGTCTGGCATCTCTCAGAAGGAACTCAATACTGCACATCTGAGATGTCTGACTGAGCATGTTCGGTTTCCCTCTTCTCGGTGACCCACCCAGAGGAGCCTGCAGAAATACTGCAAAGGGTGTTTCTGTGGCATTCAGAGCTGCAGCGATGGTTTGTAACTCGCTCCGGAGGATGACACGTGCTTTGTAAATTAGCAAAGTACCAACTAGTAAACATAATAAACAAGTATTTTCTCTTCCTAATCCTCATTGTGAAGGAATTCTGGAGTTTTACACCTGTATTTTGACACTTGGCAGCTTCATCTTGCTGTGCCCCAACAAAGAAGCATCACGAGTGCTGACAGAGCAAGCGGCCCCTCCAGCGCCTCGGGGAGCAACGTCCTCTCAGGCAGCTGGGGCTGAAAACGGGTCGAGTGAACCCCGAGTTGTTGCAACTGAGAACGAATGACCCGGGGGGGAAGGCGACAGGTGCCTCCCGGGCCGGGCCGGGCGGGCTGCCAGGCCGGGGCTCGGCGGGAGCGGAGCGGGA